GTTTTACACTATATAATGGTTTTTCAAACCAGTGGGATGTTAGGTGACAAACTTATGCATCAAGTCAATAGATGGTCAGATAAACTAGTTTTAAATGATACACTTGTTGATTAATGGGTTTACCCTGTATAATGGTTCATAACACTAGTGGAAAGTTTGGTAACATACCAATCCATCAGACCAGTGTGGGCTTATGGTACACACATGGTTCATTAGATTAATGGGTTTACCCTGTATAATGGTTCATAACACCAGTGGAAAGTTTGGTAACATACCAATCCATCAAACCAGTGTGGGCTTATGGTACAGACATGGTTCATTAGATTAATGGGTTTACCCTGTATAATGGCTCACCAAACAGTGGGATATTAGGAAATAATCCAATTCATTAGGCCAGTGTGGATTTCTGGGACAGACACAGGTCATTATGTCAATGGGTTTAGTGTATAATGGTTCATCAAACCAGTGGGAAGTAAGGTATCATACCAATCCATCAGACCAGCATGGATTTTTGGGACATGGTTCATTAAACTAATAACTTTTACACTATATAATGGTTCTTCAAATCAGTGGGATGTTAGGTGACAAACTTATGCACCAGGTCAATAGATGGTCAGATAAACTAGTTTTAAATGATACACTAGTTGACAGGATCAGTGAGTTACTTGATACTGGTATGTACACAAAGAAATACAGAAGTGAAGGAACAGTTAAAATTATGGATAGTATATCTATTTCAAGTAAAACATAACTCAGGTATGTGTGTGTACATGTATAATAAGAATAAAGCTATGTTGGCTTTGGAGTATTAATACATTAACAAGACGCAGGGTTAGTATTACTGACTGACCATACCTAGTTATATTAAAATAATAATAATAACCATACTTTTTTAAATTCTAAGGTAATATTTTAATAAATCACTCATTTTATGTATAACTGATAAACATGTTATTATAACTACTTGCAATTTATAATGGCACAATCTGGTCTATGTTACAATCAGGTACTTCAATGTAGGTATTTTCACATGGGATCACAAAGTTACTTACATGGTGCCTGATCTCACAAGTAACATCTCCAACTATTGTAAAGATATCTGAGTCTGCAAATAACTTTTCAATGCAAGAGTTATCATTACCTGAATAATTAAGTTGTAGTTTGAAGGGCTTACATCATCACTGAAGTTTTACAGAACTTTTTTGCATTTTTGTCAGGAATAAATTACAATTATATATCTTAAATGCTTGTCTAGGTTAAAAGTTAATTATGGTTTTAATTAATTGGTTGATTGGTTTTTGCTGAGCACAAAACTACACAATGGGCTATCTGTGCTGCGCCCACCACAAGTAACAAAACCCTATTTTTAAAGTTTTAAGCTTGTAGACTTACTATTGAAACCACTGGTGGGCATTTTTAATTAAAAATATTTTAAATGTATTGTTGAAATCATGAGAGAAAAATCTATTACATTTTACTGTTGTAGTTGTTTATTTTTACTAAAAATTATGTCGGCAAGTCAAACAATAAATTTGATTTCATACTAAGCATTCAGTTCTGAGGCCACAAGTACACACAGATCAATCATACAAATTGCATATACAATACAGGTTCACATGTACAGATACTGTACTGATTGCTCGTTTAAATGACAAACTCATAGCTATGAGGGATGAAGTAATGAATCATGTCATTTTTAATGCATACAGTTTGACCTATACATAGTTTATCTGTACTACCAAGTGACATCTTTATTTACTTATTCCTAATTGCTATCACACTCTAAAAGAAGTAACGAGAAATTTAATTTCTCCTTAGCCATGATGTCAGTACAGTACTCCAATAATTGTACAATATCATTTTAAAGTATTATTATTTAATGTTTTTAAAAGGGTTCGTATGTTTATTTGAGATGGTTATATTGTATTACAAGGAGGATTTGATCAGGTACTTATCACAATATTCCAAAGGAAAATACAAATTTTAGATTACTAACTACAATTAGGAATTTAAAACTTAAATCTCCCATGCTGAAAATTGGTCCTACATATTTTTCAAGTAAGTGGAATATCTGAGAAATAGAGAGTTAATTTACATAAGTATACACGTAAATAAAAAGTTTAAATAATTTCTCATGTTTGTATAAAATTTTGTATTTTTTCTAATTTATTTACTGTGCTTTGTGATAAGTTTATTTCAGTGACTTACCTCATTTTTTGTGTTTGTCCAATTTACTTGTTAATTTCCACTAAGTCTAAGGAGACCCATCTTTCACTAGCACTGTTTTTACAAGACTTAATCTGATAAAGTAGGCTTAAAATCAGGACAATAAAGAAAAGAAGAAGAAAAAAAAAAAGACTCAAGTGCTCTGATAACAAAAATTACAATCCAAAACTATACCCTAACTATACTTGTTGCACATATATATAACATCTTGCTCCATGGATAACAGAAAGTCTACATCAGATAGCTAAATTATTTCACCACATCAAGTCGAGGAAACCTAAAGCTTTACACATGATGAGGCATTCATTTCATGAAGTAGTTAATACAACTTGTCATTATAACAAAACTGTTGATTAAATAAACTTAAGGTTAAACTTTCAAAAATTAAAAACCGGTTACCACTTCATTAGTTAATGTACAAATTAAGTTCACTTACTACACATGGCAAAAAAGTAAATCTGTGACTTGTAAGAAACAAATATCAATAACTCTAACAGTATATATATATACTAAATAATTGTTTACAAAACAAGCTATACAAATCAATCTGAATAACATTTGGTTCTCAAACTGTTCATTTGATGGAAAACTTTCTTAACTGTAAAATAGAGCTAATTTTCACATCATTAACATAGAGCATCCTGGTTGTCAATACTTATCAAGCAGTCAGGATGATACTTGAAGTGATCATGTCAAGTACCAGTGACAGGTGAAAACAGATTAGTTCAAGTTTGAATGCCTGACTTGAACATATCAAAATAATAGTTTTGAAGCACTTGTGTCAAGTGTTAATAATGCTAGAACTAATATATCAAGTTCTGTTGTTCATATCATTGATCAGAGCATACTTTTATTCAGCAATCCAAACTGGATGGAAAATTGACGAAACAGGACTTGAGCTAACAAACCTTTATAAAACAGTATGTCACACAGAGACCAAAATGACCAAGACAGATGTTAGAGCTGTGTGTTCAATCACCAGAATGAATTAAGTTCAAATGTAGTGTACAGTAGATGTTAATAAATACACTGAAATCAGTTTTGGTTCAAACAGTGAATCAGAAGGGGATCATATGCACATCAAACAGATCACAAACACCCTCATTGTCACAGAGGTTGAAGCAGTAGTCTCGATCACTGGGAGGTGGACTAAGCCTCAATAACGGTGAAAACACTACAAGAAAAAATAAAATATTAATAACAACAACAAGAAAAAGAGTAATAAAAATAACCATGTAAAGTACAGTATTAGTTTGTAACAAATCTTTTCAAATACTTAGTAGAAAATTTGATATACTTGTATAACTCCAGAATTTTTCCTACCATAATAATAATAATAATACCATCATTAATATAAAATAAAATAATTAAAATGTGAAAGAGAAAAAAATATTTGTTTATAAAACTCTCAAAGATAGCCAAGTAATAATAAATACACAGAAATTAAATTACTTAGTTTGAGCAGTGCACAAAAACTAATCAACACACCTACTTCAATATACATTAAGAAGTCAGATGGTTTAGTGGCTTCAATTTTGAAATCCTTAGTTTTCATTATTTTTTTTTACAGTTTCATGAAATAAAAATTATAAGACTGGTACCTTTAGTTCTAAACATCACACAAAGATAACATTCTTGTTTACTGATAACTTTCTAAATCAGTTCAAAAACCAACCTAGCATTCTAAGAAGCACTGAATTGGTTAGACCAATAACAATTTTGCACTAATCCATACAATTTAAAGCATGCAATTTTCTTAAATTTTTTAAGACAAAAAAGTGTAAAAGTTTACTTTTTACTGTACATAGAAAGTAGCATTTTTTATGCAAATTTTGTAAATTTATAATTTTTAGAAAAGGTGAAATTGTAACTTTTTATTTGTGATCTACATGTTTGAAAGAAAACAATTAAATTAAACCTTACTTTCTGAGGATATCAATTCATCAAGAAAATCTTCATCAATGGTTGCTGCAACAGAATATGTGAAGAATATTTCTTGAAATAATGTTTACACTAGCTTATTACAAAAATTAATGCACAAAAATAAACATGTCCAGGTATAATCAGTTACTTTTCTCAAAGTCATAAAGAGGCACTATTTTATCTATTGAGATTCTACACTGGACGTAAGTTACAAATGAAAAACTATCCAAATATTAGTAATACTGAGAACACTTTATTTAAGACAAAGAACACAATCATATATAGTGATGCACCAAAACTGGTATAATAAAATATTGGTCACATTCCATCCAGTTTAGCCCCAAAATAAAATATTCAGTCAAATGATGTAACATTATGTCAAATTTTGGTTTGGTGAAATAAAAATATTTGAGTTCATTTGTGTCAATTCTATTTTTGGTGCATTAAGTCTATTTCACTGTGAAGTGTTTTATAAAAATTACTCGTAAATATTTTTATGAAAACTTTGAGTATAATTTGCATATTAGCAAAAAAAAAGAAGACTATCATTTTCAAAAGTTTGCAATGTTAAAAATTTAATAAGAAAGGTAAAAGAGCAAATGAAGAATTTTGTATTTTATTAATCTTCTATATATTCAGTTAAATACACTCAGATAATTATGTTTTTTAACCTATATTTTCATGTAAATCAAATATTTTTCATACACATGTTGGACAATGGAACTAATTTTTTTTATAAAAGTAAAAATAAAACAGTTGAATATTTTACTATTAACAATTTCAGTAGTTAAATAGTTTGATAATTACTTCTCAATAGTTTGATAATTACACCAGGATCAAACTTTTATAGGATAAGCTAATATATTCAATAAATATGTATAATAAAAATACGGTATGTAGTACCTTTATACTTTATATTTATCTTACCATTCTCAAAAATTAAATATGAAAAGAGATTCATCAAACTATTAATTTAAGATGACTTTATATTAGACTTTATATTAGAGCTGCATAGTTGAGGGAGTATTAATACTCCAAAATGCTAAAACTATAATAACTGAATTACAAACAAGGTGTTAGGAAAAAAAACAAAAAACAGTTGTTTCATTTCCTAAGGATTGTCTGTTTGTACATACATACATAGTGACTAAAAATACAATAAATATGATTAAATTTTTAATTTGAAGTTAAAGTTTTGGTCTTCATGTGTTTTACTAGGTTTTTTGTATACAATCCTGATAAATAGTGTTACAAGCACAATGAAAGACCTGAACCCCCAACAAATAAATTCACTGTCATGTAATTATCAGATGTCACTAATAAAGAAATATCATCATATCGAGCAACCTAATGAAATATCTTATTTTGTTTGTAGTTAAGCACAATGCTACACAATGGGCTATCTGTGCTCTGCTAACCAGGAGTATCAAAACCCAGTTTTTAGTGAGATAAGTCCAAAGACATTATTTAGTTTAGTAAACAAATATATGGCTTGGTGAATCCTATATCTGATGTATCACTAATCATTTTCATGTAATGACATATTTACTGGTATATTTCTTAATCAAAACAAACCTTTAGATGGATCTAAGAAGTCATCTGTAATTTCTTTCACCTCTTTCTCCACACTCCCACTGCTCGTACTAGCTTCTGATAAGACAATTAACACACATATACTTATTGTAAATGCAAACATTCAGGTGACTTGAAGAAGAAACAAGAACAACAACAAAAACACAAAGGAAACATTTCACTCCATCAAAGTAAACACACTTTTACACTATTCATTTCGTCTTCATATCATATTGTTACAAATTTGACAACTCAAAATAACAGAAACTAGTTACAGCTAAATAACAAATAATAAAACATCCATTACATTACTACAGATTGATCCATAATATACATAAATAGTTTCTCATGGATGCTTGCTTATGATTAAAAACAAATATTTTGAATAATTCTGTTGGTGCTGGCCTATGATAGAAGCACTACCCTAAAACTTTAAATATTTAGACAGAACGAATGAACTAAATAAATAGTTATAAAAATACAAGCAGCCCAATTGAGAGCTGCAGAAAGTGAAATTGGAAACATGCGAGTCCTGTTTTGAGAAAACATTACCACAGCTGCTAATGGCACATTTCTTTGTCATATTTCAACTCATAAATCTCAGGTATAAACTCTGTACTTTTTATAAGACAGATTAACAGCTTTATCAATGCTTGGAAGAAGAATTTTTGTTCTGAAGAAGAAATGTAGTATGTAGTAATATTCCCTAAAGTTTTGCTTTAATACTTTAAAAAGAAAATCATGTATACAGGTACATTTAAGCTGAAGGTCTGTTTGAAAGTTTAATGTAAAACATGTGGTTTCATAATGTTACAGATAATAAAACTAGAGGCATCAAGTCATTTCATTTGTTAATGACTTAAATTAAAGAATCATATTATTTGTTCAATGTACATCAGAATAAAATTACAACACTTAAGAAAAGTGTAAAGAATAAAAAGTTCTTACAGATGTAGTGTGAAGTAAAAACAAAAAATAATCCAAAAGAGGCTTATTGATAAAATTATATACACTCAAAACTAATGCAAAAAAATACTACAATAAACAAAAAGAAAAAATTTGAAAGGTTCAGAACTCAATTTTTGTTTATCTATTTGTGCATTTGTTACACAGAATATTTATCTTGTTTTTTATGTACATGTTTTGATGTTTTTGCCTCTTCATTTATACCAATGGTTATTCAAAATCATATCCTAATGCTATATATATATATATATATAATAAAAAAATAATTTCAATTAGTGATTTTAAGGGGTGTGCAACATACTCTAATCTTTGTTTCACTAATGCCTTTATTTATTCATTTACAAAATTATTTTAGGCCCAACAAAAATACTCTTTAAAGAAAAAATAGGAAAACTTGGATACTTAAATGGAACTCTAGTTACAAAGCTGGAAATCTCACTACTCTTAATATATATTTAGGTAACATTAATTTACCTTTTTTAACATTAACGTCAGCGTTCTTTTGCAAAGATTCTAAACTTCCCATCTTTTCACTAGAAACACCAGTCAGTTGCCGATTAGACTTCCTTGGCGACTGCCTTGTGGCCATACGAGTGATTGGGGGGAGAGGGGTAGCCTGCACTTCCATAGGTTCCTGTTAGTAAAATGGAGAGAAAGATCTACTTAAATTGTACTAAAATGAGATGTTTCGTTACCTGCCCAAAAACCAAACAATGTTATTTCATATTTAAAAAGTTCATTCCAACCTATTAAACTAAAACTTAAGATTTTGTAAATACTTTTCAAGAGCTTCATAAAAAACTGTGCTTCTGGAATTCAATTTTTTCCCATCTACACTGTATCAAGCAGGTGGAAGCACTGCCTATGTAGGAATGGCTTGGATTGTTCATCAAAATGATATTTTAAATACTCCTCAATAGGTCATCAGAACTTTACAATACTATACAGTGTTTCCTTTTATAACAACATCTATGTAATGACCGAGTCACAAGTTCTGGGAATGTCTGTAAATATCATAACAATAAGTTTGAATTTCTTGTTCTTTTCCTCTTCATTTTTATTACATGATAACTCAAAACTAAAACAATGGTGTCAACCAAATTCACTGAGATGACATAGTTTCAAATGGAGTATCCACTTTTATAAGTATAATTAACTAGTAGTAATTAAAAAAACATCATAATTCTAGCGTATATGATGTTATTATTACCCCTTTAAAGTTAGCTTTCTCACAGAAATTTGGTGTTCCTTTAAAAGGGTTAAGTGCAGGGTGAAACAAGAATTACCAGCCAATAATAGATAAATAATAAATATTACACTTGGAACCTCATTCTTTTTAGAACTTTGTTATCAATACAACCTTCCTATGTCTGTTGAAACACTGCATTAAAAAAACAAGCAAACAAGATAGCAGTGAAGGCATTTGCATCATCCCTATATATCTACTATCCCTACTATCTTGTTTGCATTGTTATTGAAGGATTGATATTAGCTATCTCTACATTTACTTCCTTTTTTGAAAAGTTTTTCTTTACTTGCTAGTAATATAAAGTACTGGAAAACATCAGGTTCTTTTTTGTACACACAAAAAACTTGAGTTCAAATAAAACAAGAACTAGTATTTTACTAATTTTATAGTTATACAAAACAAAAACATTCATGACTTTTTATACAAAAGTATAATTTTCCGGGCTTTTCAAGCCTTGGAAAAACACTGGAAAGATTGCACTGATATCTTGAAAACACATCTGGACTTGCATGTCAATAGTTTTAGCAATTAAACTAAATTCCATTCTAGTGACTAATATACTTTGCTTGTCCTAAAATGCATATTTGAAAGCACCACAAATTCTTTTTAGACACTCAAATTCGTGAAACTGAAGAAGATGTAGGAAAGAATGGCTTCAGAAATTTACATAGATCTTAAGTAAAAAATACTTCATTAAAAATTATTATTTTTTTGTATACTACAGATCTTTAATGTTTACTACAGGCTTACCAAATTACAAGGATATACTAGGTAAATTCAGAGTTATAGTAAAAGTTAGTATGTATAGCTTCAAAGATCCAAGATCGAGACCATGTACAGATGGTTAATCTTTGAATTAGATCAGTTTTTTTACAAACAGTTATCTAAACTATTTACATAGCAAATTGTTTGTGGGCCTAAGAATTTGTTGGTTACAGGGTCCTTTATAACATTTAAACAGGGTGCAAAATTAATGAGTGCCAAGAGTTAAATGCTAAATATTATGATCGTAAGTGGCAAAAGAAAAAACTGAAAAGCGATTTCTGTCTTTTGTCACAAATAATATTAGATAGGAAACCTGCTTTTCTTTACACATAATTAAAAAATACTCTTATTGCTACTGATGGTTTTCAGTTTCAAAGACAATAAACCCACCTCTGTTGTTTCTGCTGTAGGTTTTGGCACTGAGGTTTGTTGTTGTCGTGTCTGTCGGGTAGAAGCACGAGTGTTTGGAGGTGGTGTTACTTGCTCTTGTGATAAAGCAGAAATCATAAGGCTACTGTCTTCTAAATTTGTGTTTGATGAAGCATCAGGTGGATCTTCACAAAAGGGAGGGACCTGTTTTTAACAATTTACAATTCTAACTTTTTGCTTGTTCAGCTTAAAAAACTACTTTAATTATAGCATTAGGCAAAACTTAACCTTTTGATAAACAGTGTGAATATTTTCACAAAATATTTCAAACTATAAAAATTTCACATATTAATAAAGGAGAGAGAAAAAAATACAATTGTCTAATATTTCAGTGTTTTGTTACATATATAGTTATTAGAAACATAGTGCAAACCATAAAACTATCAACTTCAAGAATGTTATTAGCTCTAGAAACTTTACATAGGAAGATTAGTTTTGCACAATGTTGGAACAAATGACTTTTTTACCCCTAATTTACACATATTCACAAGTACCATGTTATGCAAGCAGAAACTTTTCTTAGTTCTTACATAGTTGCTTACAAAATATTCAGTTGTGTAGTAAATACTACGTTAGTTTCTTATTACTGTAATACCATTACAGTTACCATTAAATTTAATGAACTATATTTACAAAAATGTTTGATTACTGTACATTAATGCTGAAGCCGATTAACCAATCTTGCATGTATATTTATTAACCCATTCACTGCAGCTGGGACATATATTTCCTAGTGCACTGGGAAATATATGTCCCAGTTGCAGTGAATGTGTTTTCTTGTAGCAAAGAAAAAAAACTTTTAGTAATACTACTGGAATATTAAAATCAACATATGTGCATAAAATTAAAAGAATCGTGTGTTTTTTTTTAGCAAAGCCACATCAGTCTATCTGCTGTGTCCATCAAGGGGAAATCGAACCCCTGATTTGAGCATTGTAAATCCGAAGACTTACCGCTGTCCCACCAGGGGATCCCAGCCGCAGTAAAAGGGTTAAAGTACAACAAATGCAAAAATTGTTAAAATTTTCTAAAATATAAGTTGTATGGTAATTCTGATTAAATATTATATGAAATCTATGAGAATGTGAATATAGTTTCAGTCATGACACAATGCATTATTAATTACATTTGTTTCAAAATATGCTCGAGATTTTTTATAATTATTTCATTATTTTACTTTTATGTTTATATAACCTTTTTTACAATGGCTTTCCTTCCAAATTTATAGAACATATAACTTTTTTGTTTTCTCTACACATTTACACAACATAAAATAGAAACCAGTGATACTCATCTGACTGGTTGGTTTATTCCACTTCTATGACTAATTTTTCCTATTCTTACTTATAACTGTTTCTTCAGAACAAGTTCTCAATAGCCACAAACAAAATTCTACAGTACATCATAATAGCTCCATCTACACATTTCACCAAACACAATACAAGTGATAGTAACCAAGTTTAGAGTTAAACTTGCATGCTGTGGCCTGGAAAGTGACACCTTAAATCTAGTATTTGAATTTACAGATTGTGTTTTAATTTCAAGTAAGTTGTAAAAGCATTCACATATGCCTTAGAATATTTGAACTTTTCACACAAATAGAATTTACCTAGCACAATTAAAAACTCAACTACCCCACCTGAACTATAACAGGACTTGATGATGCACTCTCCTTGTTCACAAGTAGAACATTAATAGGTCCAGAATTTGACTTCAAATGTATCTGATATTTCTTCTTCTGTGTTCCATGCTATAAAAGACACACCACAAATCCATCTCTTATCAGTTTGGGCTTAAAGTCATGTACTCAATTACAATAATGGTTTAAAGTTTTCCAAAATTAATAAAATAATTAAAGCATGATAAGATTAACATTATGGTTTAACAACATGCAAAACATAGGAGTAGTTTATCCTGTAGCTAATTTACATTAGTTTTGTATGAAAACTTTTTCAACTAGCATAATCTGTAACACAAACAGCAGAAATGCTTTGTCATAAAACTTTAGACTCTTGTTAAAAGCTTTCTAGTTTAACCCCCTTTCTATGAATAGGTTAACGTGCACATCACGACCGTTTAGAGAGTTACATTCAAAATATAATTAAGCTACTTGAATTTCATTGTGTATGAATAAATTTGACATCAAGTCATAGTTAATAAATCAAATTTTAATAGAACTTTTAAGTTCTTAATTTCATAAGGAAATATTTTCAAAAATCCTCAACCTCCCCTAGTATGAGAATCATGACATTCTCTAGGTCTTCCTCCTTTTCTTTTTATCACCCCTCTGGGAAGTACAGAATTTAGCATAAATTCCTCATTACAATATAGATATTACTAAGGCAAAGAATAATTTTATAGCCTTTAATCTCATTTGTTTACGGAGTCATATACTAGAAAATTATATCCACTTGCCACACCCACCTGTCACACCCTCTCTTTCCCAAATTACCAATAATTCTCTCTAACATTTTATACTATATTATTTGTAACCAATAGAAAGTCAAAGTTTTAATCTATCGAATGATGTATTTTATATTATGTTGTTTCTGTACAGGGTATTGTCTATTTCACTTCCACTTTGAAAATTTCTCTTGTAGTATTCACATCAACAAGCCTAGCTAAATATTTAACCCTACGAATATAGGCTCGTAACCATGAAAGTATCCATGAGAATAATCATACTATAATTTTTGATAATGTAAGTGCATCTTTACAAACTTTTGCAGATTATTAATAAACATTACAAGGCTTTCATACACAAAATATCAGTAAAGATTTTATATAAAGATTTGTCCGTGAATTTTTTCTTTCAGAATGTTGACTATCCAACGTGCAAAGTAATTTTGATTTTCAGATTAAAAATACTTTTCTTTATCCAAAAATTGTCAAGTTTCATTTGCATAATCTCTATATATCCTTCTAGGTAGGTAATCATCAAGCATTATTTTGAGTAAAACTTTATATTTAATGTTATTTTATCAATGCTAATTCTATATGGTGTTGGTCGATTTGACCGACCTCGTAATCATCATAAAAATTAGAAAATGAATCTAAATTACCTCTTTTTTTTGTTTTAGAATAACTGCAAATTGTAACAGGAAACCACAAGTGTTTATTCTAAATAGCTTAAATCTCATAACAGTATACATCTATTTATATTTATTAATTTTTGTTTTATTGACCTTTGAATTGTGTCTAACTAAAAATACCTCAACACAATTTCAAAATTTTGAATAGCATAACGCACAAGCTGCTGGCATGTATACCCCATGAAGATTTTTATTACTTTTCTTTCATTATCTTACCTAATAAGTTTCTATTTTTTACATTACAGTTACTTTTATAATAGTAAGTAGCAAAAACAAATGGAAAATAGAAAATATCGTAATTAAATATCAAACATTTTTATTCTTAGCAAAGCTTTATATTTTATCTGTTATTTTCTTTACTGTAACATTGTAGGTAAGTAATCAAAGTATAATGAAAAATAAAGGAAGCAAGTGCAAAATAAAATGTATAGTATTGTTAGTATTAATCACAAAATTTCAAAGTACTTATGGTCAGAGTTTACGCTTCTCACCTTTTCACACTTATTTTCTGTAGTTATATTAATGCTAGCAGATGGCTTAGAAATTAAAGAAACAAAATGAATAGTACTGTCTGTTCTTTTCAGTACAGACAATGAAGTTCCAAAGTAAATCTCCTGAGAGTTTCTTCTAATCTTTACACCTATGCTTATTCTACTGTTAGCGGATGAATTGGAAACCTGCCAAATATAAAGCAATGAATCACCATCCCTGTTCAGGTGTTACTGTACTTTGACACCATCAATATTAAATAAGCTTTTGCAGGACAATTCCCAGAACTTTCCCTGCTTTGAAAACACAGTGGGATAGGATTTATCAAATTGTTGACAGTATAATGGTTACAACAAGAATTGTCTAAAGTATTATAAAATGTTTATGCTATGGCTTTGTAGGAAGTCTGGGCTGATCCAATAAACTTGGTAGGTATTTGAATGGTAGTCAATAAGCTGACATTTCCTACAAAGTCTTTTCAAATTCCAGCTCTGAAAACACAATGGGGTAGGATTTATCAGCTTGTTTACACAGTACAGTAGTTGCAACAAGAACTGTATAAAGTACTATAGAAAAGTGAAAGAAAACATTTATGATATGACTCGGTACAAAGTTGTATCTGATCCAATAAACTTGGGTGGGTGGGATTTAGTGGTAAAATAGGCGTGAAAGTGCTTATGAACATACTGTTTCTTATTTTACCATACTTACACAGTAACCAATAAATGCACAGTTTCCAATATCTTGTATATATATACATAATTACTATTTCCAAATAATTATTTAAATTTTAGTTATTTTTCTCAAAATATGGAATAGTAAATAAAAAAGATTCAGAAAACAATGATCTCCACTACTTACGATGTTTTGAAGTGTGTTTTTTTTTGCACTCGTGAGTTGCACTTGCTAACCCTCATCGTAAGCCTTGTCCAAATTCACATGTCCATGTAGTTTGTTTGTTTGGAATTAAGCACAAAGCTACACAATGGGCTATCTGTGCTCTGACCACCACAGGTATCAAAACCCAGTTTCTAGGGTTGTAAGTCCACAGACATACCGTTGTGCCACTAGGGAGTGTCCATGTAGAAAAAAAATAATTTTTGTACACTCTATATATGCATTTTTGGATACAAAAAAATTATAAATGACTATACCGATATCACAAAAATCTATTGTAATTTATCAGGCTTCCTAACCATGCTGTATTTTGGTCTAAAAAAATCTAATTTCTGTTCAGAAAATAGCATTGATCATAATACTTCAAACTCTCCAACAATAAAAGAGCTTTTCTCTCATAAATAACTTAGAAAGACTAACAGAATTACGTAGAAGAAATGTAGAGCTTGCAATTGGTTATAAACTTACAGGTATAAAAAAGCAGGAGTAGATAAACAAGCCTTCTCAAATGATGAAGTGGTGGGCAAAGCCAATATGGTGGATTCAATAAATATTATGATATCTCAGCAAATAGTAAAGGTAGGATGTTCTTATTTTATACTCTAGCTTGCCAGTATCAGAAATTTGACTTTATAATTCGTATGAAACTATAGACAATGTATTGTGAGCATCATAAAAAAACCTAGAAGATACACAAAAATTGATATTTACTTTCAAATTAAGTAATTAACTAATGTATAATACTAAAATTTGAATTAAAACTATGATTTAATACTAAGTTTATAGACATACATTCCTAAAATAGTAATTCAATACAATTTTGAATGTAAGTCTACAAAAGTGATGACATGTCCTCTGACCCCTAGCTATCAGTATCGATAGGGCCTCTTATCGCATAGTTAAAAAGCCAGATATGTTATGATAGTTATAGAAGATTATTTGTTTTGTGCATCTTATTCTATTCTTAGGTGCATTACTTAATTAAAGAAAAATTATTTAGTGTACTAATATCATCAGTATAAAAAGTAGGTTAGCTTACATCAACAATCGATAAAAAATGAAAGAGGACACAGGTAATTACCATATTTCATATTTTTCCTGTATATTCTTTATTAATTGTTATAAAAGTATCTAAAATGCAAAGATTAAAAATTTATTAAGTTAGTCTAGGAAAGATAATGAAAAAATTTCTTCACAAGGTATACTCGCAAGTTCTTTAGGTAATTCAATACATATTTGCTGAGTGATTTACAACATGTGTGGCAGAATTATTAGCTTGCCAAAAGACAATAAAATCTAATTATAAACAGATGTATACTGTTACAACCTTCAAGATATTTAGGATAAACAGTTGTAGTTTATTGTTACAATTTCCATCAATCTAGAAATAAAATACAAGAGTAAGTTAACATTTTCTTACACTGAAAACGCATTTCCAATAGGTATTTACCTCCTCTTCTAAAGCTAACTCAATCCTCAACTGCCCTCTAAGCATTCCTAACATTTTTTGCTAACAGCGCACCAGTCTTTTGTACCCCATCAGTTTCATGTCATTTCAGAACATATGACTACCCTCCTCCAATCATACTGCTCCCTATATAATAGTGCTGCTAGCTCCCTCTACTATTCTAGAGTAATCCTGACTTTTGAGAATTGGCAGGTACAAACCAGAAACACCAGAATATCAGTGTGGAGGAAGAGTGGGAAGTGGATGAGATGAGGTAAGTACCTATCAAAATTACATTTTCAGTGCAAGAAAATGTTAACTTCTGAAACTACTCTCACCCAAAGCTAGAATCCCACATTGCAAAGGTGGAGGGGCTGGTGAAGAAACACCAATATCCAAGCAAGCAGAAAGAGGCCACACTGAAAGAACAGGTGTGCAACATATGATAAACCGAGTATGGTCCACCCGGGCAAAAAAAATACAGGAGAAGTGCCTTGGAGTATATCGGACTATGCCAAGTGCTGTCTCCATCCAGGCAGAAAATACTCAGTGAAAACACCTTGCATAAGGAATTTTTGATCAACAAGTCTACCTGGGCAAAAACATCTGGGGGAAGCACCTTGGATCTTGAAGATTATGTTATTTTATAATCATTGTGTGGTAATGAGTATAACAATGAGAGCCCTCTTCTGGCTGAGTGGGTACACATGATATATAAAGACTGACTTTATTTGTTATACAAAACCCAATCAGGAGGAACATCCTCAGTCCACCACTCCAGCAACTGGGAACCAGAAACGGCAAGGACTCCCGTGCTCCACCAGAAGAAAGGGAGGCAAAACGCATAGGGGAGTCCGGAGGAATGACACACCGGAGACAGTGCAATGGGTGTTTGCAATTCCCTATTTTGTAAAGCAAAAATATCTCGATTGGAAGAATCATAGGTCAGTAGGAATGGGCAGAAATCCTCATCTGCTTTACTCAAGAAGTCTATGAGTGACAGTCCTTTATAACCGAAAAAAAGATTAAAAAAAAAAAAAAAAA